CTGAGACAGCAATTGAGACTGGGGGTGGTGGCATGCGCCTGTAATCCTAGCATTTGGGAGGCTGTAAACAGGCCAATCACTATGAGTCCGATCTAGTGGTGAGACCCGAAACATCCTGTAGATCCTTCCCTAAAATACAAAAAAAAAAAAAAAAAAGAATAACATTTGAAACTTTGAGTTGAACTTCTGGAAGATCACAAGCTATGGTGAGACCTATTGTGATTTTCTTTTTCACTTTGCTTAACTTCACAGATGTTTTTATGTATATTAATAGCCATCTCCAAACAATAAAGTACACAAATCAAGTCATTCAAACCTGAGAATCATTTTCTTTTCACTAACTCAGAAAACAAATATATACTTGAATACTGAACCAAAATACACTCACAGGCTGGGGAGGTAGCTCAGCAGCACAGCACCTGTTTAGCAAGCGCAAGGTCCTGAATTCAATCCCAGTACCAAGAAAAAAAGACTCAAAAATACACTAAATTCATTTCATCTTTCTCTCCCTTGTCACTTCCATCTCTGCACCCACTAAATGTACCTCTGTCTAGAAACTTTGGCCATTGTGGTAGTCTGGGAAATAGACAAAAAATTGTAAAAATGTAATAAGAATACTTAGCACATAAGAAAAGTATTAAAAGAAATTTTGGGGATCACTAAGAGCAGAAGAGTATTTTACCTAGCTTACTAACTTTTACTAATACCTTTAAGAATTATATCAGCACTGAGAAGGACCGGGGCAGGAGGACTGCACAATGAAGAGGTGGGGGTACCACCCAGTGGGGAACACCCTTGAGTTTGATCCCCTATAAAGCAAAACAAAACAAAACCAGAATCACAATCAGCGAAGTTAGGAAGGGTTTTCTGTACACCTCCTCCCTAGGGTATCTCCCACTCCCACACTTGTGGAGTCTGTGTATCTGAAGAGGACAACCCTCCAGTGCTGCCCCAGACTGCCAGGCTGCTTGGTTACTGTCCTCACTGCCTTAGTCTTCCCTTATCTCTAGGTGATTTCTTTGAAGATCTCCAATAGACATCTGAAACCAGTGGTAGTACGAAAATCTATATATACTGTTCTATATTATACATGCACCCCTGTAAGTTTTAGTTCATAAATGATGTACAATAAGGATTAATAATAGCTTGTGAAACTATATTAAGTTTTTATTTTTGAGATTTTCCACTTAATACTTTCCAACCACAGCTGACCATTGAAATTATAAAAAGCAACACCTCACTTAAGGTGAAATGACTATGTAGACTCCAGCCTCTCAATCTTTTTAATGTTAGGCAGGTACTTATTACTGAGCAACATCTCCAACCTTTCTTAAAGCCCCCCATCACAGTACTGGGGACCCCAAGGTCTCTGTACTGTAGTAGCACATCCCAATCCTTTCCATTTTTTTATTTTTATTTTTTATTTTGAGACAGGATCTCACTAAGTTACTCAGGGTGGTCTCAAACTTAGGATCTTCCTGCCCCAGATTCCCAGAATGCTAGGATTACATATATGTACTGCTGAGCCTGGAAGCTGACTTTTAACAATCTTGTTTTATCCCAAAATTCCTATTCAAGTTCCTAGCGCCACACAGAATGCATTAATACATTCAACAAATATTATGCATGCATATGTGGGCACTAAGTGGGTGGAGAAATGAATTAAAAGAGAAGAGAGCACGTTTTAGATCCCACATCTACATCTTCTGAACATCATAAATACTAAACAATAAGAAGAAGTAAGCCTCTGTATGTGTGAGACTAAACTACTTCCCCTACATATTTTTAAACAGCAGGGAGGCAGAAAAAATTATTTCTATTAATTAGAAAATTAACTGAGCTTCTATATCTTTTCAAACTTTTCTCCAACTATCTATGATAAAAGTTTTCCATTGTGTATATAGAAATAATGAAAACTGCCATAAATACATCTGTATTTTTTCTATCTAGATCTACCAGCTATTTTAATTTTGCTACAGTTTACTTCATTGTTACATTTGTATTTCTTGGCTTTAGTAGCAATACAAAAGCTGTAGCTATACTGGCATTTTAACTTTGGATGCACATGGCTCCTCTAAGAATAATAAATTCTATCAAATCACAATACTGTGATTCTAATGGATAAGCAAATTAATATAACTCACACTCAAAATTTTCCAAACATCTCAAGACTATCTTTGAATCACATTTTCCCCACAGAGCACAATCCAGCCAACAAGTCTCATGGGTTACATTGGTTACGTCTCTAATCTCTTTGGATCCAAAAACATCACCTTTAAAACCAACTTTACTCCTACTCAAGTACTCAGTCCATTTTGCAGAGCTTTATCTTCAAGGAGTCATTAAAAATAAAGCCTTCTGAGTATAAATACTGAAGACACTCTGCCTCTGGGAGGTAAGCTGTGATTTCCAAAGTTGTGTCAGACCATCTGGAAGTGAGGTTCAGTTTCCTGTTAAACACTTTAGGATGTATCAATAATCAGACAGCCTTTAAAGTGCAAAGGATCAAGAGCAATATTTTAATTCTATTTCCCAAAGAAATCAGCAATTTAATCTTCAAGGACTGAGATACTCCAGAAGATCAAAGAAGCACAGCAAGGAAAGAATTAAAATGAGTCTACCCACAGTCCAGAGGTGAGACTCACCACTCCCTGGGACCAAGACTTAGGCATGTTTAGGAATACAAGAAACAGCACTCGGCCTTTGGTCAACACAGGCCCAGAAGACAGCCTCAAACATACAAGAACTACATCACTGCACTGCGGCTGAGCCCAGTTCTACTACACCCCTTGCAGGTCACTAAAGGGTCTGTAACATTTGGTTACTTTTGTTATCTGGCAGACTAGGTCAAATATGTTCCTTCATTCTACAACACCCAGAAATAAGCCAAGAACTTCTGAGCCACCTCTTCTGAATCCAGATAGCACGGGAGATGCGTAAACATAGATTTGCAAATATGTCTATCTTACTTGCACTTATTTTAAAGTATGCAAATAATTGCTTTCTCCTATCCATTTATTTTGGCAATTTAAAAAAGCATTAGATAGATTAGTTTAAAAATTATCCTTGGGGAGATGGCTCAGTAAAATTAGTGCTTGCCTGGCAAGCGCAAGGGCCTGAGTTCAATCTCTGGTTCTGCCAAAAACATAAATAAATAAATAAAAAATAAAAATTATCCTACTGCATAATTTGGTTAAAACAATATTCTGTAACAAATGAAGGTTCAGATATCTGAACCTCACGTTCAAAAAGTTTCAAAAGGGTGGGTGGAGTAGGAGAAAAACTGCATTCAGCACATCCACTCCAGGTGTGAAACATTCATTATTTATTCCTTATAACATATTTAGGTTGGGTGAATAAGTACCAGATGGTTTGATGTGAAATTATAGCTAAGCTTTCCAAAACACAGATACTATCTTGACCACATTTTATAACAAAGGAAACCAAAGCCCAGAGACTTGAAACTGATAGGACAAGATAGAATTCAGGATTTATTGGAGTCTGTGCTCTTAACCACCAAGCTAATTAGACATCACAGCCAGAAAATCATCTCTGTATCCTATTTTTCTGTGTATGCACACACCAACTAAGAAAAATGAAGCTACCACAAACGACTGACCTGCATTATGCCCCCATTTCCTATGCACGGGATCACAGCACAGGGTGTAGGGAAACCTAATCCTTGTCAAACTGATGTTCAATGGAAGAAAGCAGATGCCGCTTCTCCAAGGTGCAACGAACAATGGTGCAGAGGAAAATGATCCTGCGGACAGCACTGACCAAGGCGCAGAGCTGGCACCTCTTGACAACCTGACCACAATATGCTCACGATATGACTAAACAGAGAAACAACTCCACGTGCTGTCTCTCCATTCTGACAATGCTACGACATCCACTGAGCATTCAGAGTACACTGTCTTTCTGGAATTAGGATCTTTAATGTATTAGTCACTGTGATATTCCTTAACTGACACTTGCCCAAATTTAAAATTTGAAGGTGCTGAGAAGTTATAAGCATAAAATTTTAAATACTTTTGGATGATTTCTCAATCTTCGAGAATGATACCAGTACAGAAGGGGGAAAAAATCAAAATGTGATAAACAATTGTGCTAGTAATGGGGCTGCAGAGATAGCTCAGTAGAATAAGCACTTGCCTGGCAAGCACAAGGGCCAGAGTTCAATCCCGGTTCTGCCAAAAAAAAGAACAATTGTGCTCATGAACACAATTTATATTTGCCTTTAAGCAACATTTTTCAATACTACTGATCACTTCTAGGCCTAATTTTGAGAAATAGGACAATATAATAATAAAGTAATGGTATAAATGCCAAATTTTTAAGTGTTTTTTTTTCTTCCACATTATACAAGATTTGCATATGATGATCAGCTTGATAATCAACACAAAAAGAGACCAGGCTTATGTCATTACAATACTACTCTCACTAAAATTCTTGAAGTCAAAGAATCCAAATACTGCGAGTGGACAGGAAGGTAAATGATAAAGAATATAAGACAGGAAGGAAAGGAAAGGGGGGAGGGGTGTCCAGGCAGATACTCCAACCCACTTTGGTTTTGGTGACATTAAGAGACCACTTTCCTACTAAATACCAGTCCCCATAATCACTGCTATGCATATCTTAATTCTAGATGCCATGAAATCAAAAAGATGCCTCTAAATTTAGATGTATCCTTTCGCAGAACCATCCACGCTTACCACCAGCTATGCAGGGAGCAGGCAGCAAGAGACATGAAAGGTGCAGAAGGAAGCAACTCGGGGCCTCCGACAGCAATGGGCATGGCCATCCACTCCACAGCTTGCACAACCCTACAAACCTAGCACTGAACCAGAAACGACACAAAGGCGCTCCCCACCTATGAGTTGTTCGGAGTAGGTTAAGTCATGAGAGTTTTCTCGAAGCTACACATCTATAAATCTGAGTCACGTAGCCAGAAGCTGGTCAACTGAGATGTAAACTAAGATGAAACTGCTAAGGTCTTAAGGATGAATTTAACAAACCTGGGAAACACTTTTGCGATTAATTATTCTGACTGTAAAACTCCACCTACCCGCATTGGTCCTATTTGGCTGCTGATCTGGAGTTTGGGCTTGAGGTGAATAATACTGCTGTTGCTGGTAATTACTGGAAGGAAAATACTGGGAACTGGGGCTCCTCCTACAATCCCGAATGCTGGAGAAAGTCTGTGAGTGGGGAATTCCTCTTTGGAAAGGTGAACATCTTGGAAGACGAGGCTGGGGTGGTGGCAAATGATCAAATTCTTCCTCATCCTCCAGGCTGTAGCGATCATATTCTTGGTCACTGGATGTCCCTTTTTTTCCTGAACTCAGTGACACACTGGAGCTATGTCTTGACACACAAGCTGAAGTTGAAGCATAATCTTGCCTGAGGCCTAGGAAATGACAACAAATAGGATTATTTTAGGAGATACTTTCAATCTAGCTAACATCAAATTATAATTAACCAAATATTTGTGGCAAATGTTTTTAGTAATAGACTCATTATTTGCTCCGAAGGTCTTAAAATCCCCAAAACACATTTATCTACCAAACAGGTATCTAATAGCGGACAATTCAGTGCTGCAAAATGGTTGCGCACATTCTAGTGAAGATTATATATAGCACTTGCGATAACTCTATCAATCAGGATCTATCACATTCCCCCAAATAATTCCTTTTCAGATCTGGAGATGCTTAGGAAACAGAATTTTGGAAGAAATGGTCATCATCATCATATCATTGTTTGCTATGAGTAAAATGAAAACAAATTCGTACCCGAGTCATATTCCCATGTATACACTAGTTTGTCGCATTCACACTAATAGCTTGCCTTACTTTCTGAAAAGAAGGTTTGTGTTATTATCTGTTTCATTTCAGTAAGAATCTTTTTTGGTTTATATCTCATATTATGTAATTAATTGAAGATAATGAAACATGGTACACTACCGTTATTCTCTTATTATTTGGTTATGAAAACTTGTATTTTTAATTAAAATTTTGAAAGAATACAAAAGTGAGTCTGCTTCTACATCCAGCTTACAAATTCTAAAACCTGAGGTACAAATACTTCCTACTATGGCCATTTCTTCTTGTTACTGTTGTTACTAATACTGTCTCTTCCAACGCATCCTGATACTTTAGCACTGAAATAGTTTCTGGTCATCCTAAATCAATGGTGGCAAACCTGTGGCACATGCACCACAGCAGGCTGGCTGTATCATGGAAAACTCTAAAAAGTTTGCCATCCTGTGCTAAGCCATGTGAAAGTTTAGGCACAAGATTTTAACCATTTAACTTACTGCTCATACCACAATTTTCTCTATTTTTAAAAATATGTTTAGGGGCCGGGGAGATGGCTCAGTGGAATAGGCGCTTCCCTGGCAAGCGCAAGGGCCTGAGTTCAATCCCGGGTCACCAAAAAAAAAAAAAAAAAGTATTTAATACAGGGTTTACAGGGTCTCACTACACAGACTGCACTTTGTAGTGAGCCTCCTGTTTTCAGCCTCCAAGTGCTGGGATTACAAGTACACACCACGACCCCCAGTCTTAGTCACCATCCCAGCGTGCACGGGTGGGGGGGCTGGCACAGCACACTGGGGATCAAACCCCAGTCGCAGGGTCTACCTAAGCAGGCGCTTTAATCCGCTCAGTACAATTTTTTCAAAAGCAATCTATTCCTGACTAACTTCTGCAATGGACTCCGCATCTTTTAGCCATGTATTTTTAAATGAGTACTTAAGTTTATTGGTCGTGAAAGTAATCACATTTTACCTCAAATTGTATCCTATTAAATCTGGCATAAGAATTACCATATTCCTCTCAATATCCTTCACTACTTCTGAAAATAGGAACTCCCTATGTTTCAGTGACACGCAGCTGTTTCAATTTATATTAGCCTGAAAAGAGAACCCCAAAATAAACTTCACCCAGTCCTGTGACCTACACCTAAGTGTGCCCTCTAATACTACTGATGCCTTTGAAGTGGTTCATATGCAGATCTGTTGTAATTTTATTATAGAACCAGTGATAAACTGTCTCATTTCCAATTATCTACTCTTCCAAAATTATTGAATGCGATATATCCATACAGTAACTGAAGTTTTCTTAAGATACCACAGTCTTGCTGGTGGAACTGGGAAAAACGGTATTCCTTAATGATAACAGCTTTTGAAATTACTGATTAGCATAACATTCTGAGTAGCAGCAGCTGACATACCACCTTATTCAGGTTTCCCAGTTTACTGTTATGTGTACATACTTCTACATATGTTCAATTAAGTTCTTTATAGTTTTATTATTAACATGTTTTTAAAATTTGTTTTTCAACAGATTTGTGATCACAACCAGAGAGGCAGTACTGAGCAATTCCAAAATCCAAAAATCCTTTGTTATGCCCTTCAAATAACCACATCCACATCCACTTCCCTCTCCCTCCAAGATGCCAGCCACCATACCTTTTTCCCAACAACTAATCTCTTGGAATCTGCCAATTATAAATTGAGGATACGGCCCAGAGCCTTAATGAAGACCTTAGTGCTCCCGTGACACTGTGGTACTCCCAGGACCGATCCTCATGGGCTTAAGATCACATCCACCCTCTGAGTCATCTGATAACCCCCTCACTATTTTCTTGATTATAAATGGGATCAATAAATACCGTGGCTCTGGCTGCCCTGCGGCCTTTCCTGGACAACTGGCCATCCCACGCCCCTGCTGCTCTGCCATTTTGTCTCTTTGCCCCGCACCATAACACCTGGCCAGACATTAGCGCCCACCACCAGTGTCCTCAATACTGCTCTGTCCTTCACTTTTAAAATGTTGACACTTCAAAATGTTATATAAATGGAATTACTCGGTATATGGTCTTTTACTGTCTTTGTTTTTCACTCTGCATGATTCCCTGTAGCTCTATCCAAGGTACCACACTAATACTTCCTTCATTTTTCCCGCTTAGCACTGCTCCAAGTTACACTCCAGTGCTGAGGCTCTGTACCTCAATTTCTTTAGCCATTCAATTGAGGTTCCAGTACTCAATTTCTTTAACCATTCACCGGCTGAAGGCCATCTAAACCAACTCCAGTTTTAGCTATTGCGAAAAGAGCTGATAAACACATTCCTACACAGGCTTTTACGTGAACACAAACTTCAGTGCTCTGGGGTGCTCAAGAACGCAGTCCGCTGGGCCAGGTGGGAGTCCCATATGCCTGACACCTTAGGATGCTGCTGAGTATTTAGGAAGCATGCTGCTGCTTTGCCTACAAAGTAGGATCATCCAAGAATAGGCCTGTCTGCCCATCACCTGAGCAGGAGTGCCTGAGCCCCCAAACCCCCACCTCCTGTATTTCCTGTGGAAGTCTCACTTCCCTGATCAAAGGGAACTTACTTTCTTCTTGCAGACGAGCCATGATCTGAACGTCAGTAAGGTCCTGCAGCTTATACCCCATGGAAATGGAGTCGTCCTCCAACTCTGAGGTACTCAGCTCACTGTCAATAGATGACTGGGGGCTGAGAGGGGAGCCCCTAGAAGTATAACCTAAGACATGGAGGAAATGTGCATTATTCGCAAACCTGGTATCTATATATGCTTTACAATTTGCATATGATTCATTTATTTTCCTGCTTTCATAATGCCACAAAATAGCCAGAACATTGTCACAAACTTGTGCTAATAATAAAAACTTTAAAAATATTACCAGTTCATGGCCAAGACTATAAATACAGATTTACAAGTTCATAATTCATATATAAAACCATTTATTTACTGTTTGCTCAAAGTCAAGTTTCAGAATTTTAAAAAGCCTCTGTGTACTACCCACTAAAAGATTTAAAGGGCAGACTTCATGCTGCATGTTTGCTTGTATTGCGGCACCAGGACTCAGGCTCAGCGCCTCAGGAATGCTAGGCAAGCATTCCTTCACCAAATCATACTCCAGACCTTTGATGTGCTTTATAGCACAATAAAAAAATCACTAATGCTAATATCTGAAAGTATGATAGGCAAATACAGACAATTCACATATACTTCTATCTAATAACCAAAAATATTTGTCTCTGGCAGTAGGTGATTACATATTTTCAAATTAAAAATTAAAACTGGTTCATTCTTTAGTGAGCACACACAGGAGTGCTTTAAACGTATGCAAAATATATTCAAACTTCTCCTAATTTAGACAGGTGAGTGTCACAGAAGACTTAGAGCCAACCACTCACAAAATTGAAACAGCCTGGCTGAAGATAAAAAGAATTAAGAAAGAAAGGATCCAAATAGTAGAGAGTCTTACAAATAGAGTCCTACCAATGCTAGGAAAAATAAGCACATGGTGAGGCCCCCACCACACAGAAAATCTGTAACTATTCATTTAACATAGAACTAGCTAAATAAAAATAGCTACTAGAAAAATAAAAATTAAAAGCAAAAGCCTTGCAATTTTAATCATAATAACTACTGAACTGTACTTGACACTTAACACATTCCCAGTGGCTTGAGCCACTGGTGGCACGTGCATGACATGACTGTCCCATTGGGCAGCTTGTACTCCTAGTGGTACAAATGGACACAATCACTTGTATCAGTTTTTTAATAATAAAAGCAGATAGTCAGACATATACCACTGGTGGCTTAAACTGCACGGTAGCAAAACATACACATTTCACCTCCGTTGTGAACATGTTAATTGTAAAAGCACATTAGGCACTGGGAAACACGAAGCAATGTAGGGTATGCGAGCTTTCGCTGGAGAGAGGAGACTAGGACACAGCAAAGAACAGTGGTGTTAGAGCTCAAGCTAATGCTAGTCCCGTCTATACCTGGCACATGTGGCACAAACTCGCCACTATCACAGTGACTTCTAGCTATTCAGTGAAAGACATATGAGATGTGCTTAGAGACTGAACTGCCAAGCAAAGCAGTTAGTCAACAAGTTGAAATATTACCTGTTTTCTCAGGTGTTAGTATTGCTTTATTTGAGGTTTTAGAGAAGCTGGGAGTATTAATGCCATTGCTATAAGGGCTGAGTCTTGCAACAGGACTATAAGGAAACGCCAGGGAGGCAGTCGAAGAGAAGAGACTCCGCCATCGGCTAGCTGTCACAGAAGCAGAAAACAGTAGCAGTTAGCTCTATGGAGGAAGGGGTTGATAGCTCAGAGAAAGGGAACATTAAAAAAGAGAAACAAAATTTTGATAAGAATAACTTCACTCACTTTCATTTATTAAGGGAAAAATATGTAACAATAGACAATTTGTTTGTTAACTGGAGTCCTATTAAAACAACCAATAATAAAAAGTAAATCTACCACATGTTGATTGAAGCCAATAAGCCTGTATGAAAATAAAAATCTGTTTGTAATTTCTACATTAGAAATGTTTCCTATATATTTCTGAAGAAAGATGTAAGCATTTTGCAAAGGTACAAAAAGTCTCAAAGTTTGTAGACTTTAGAAACTGTGGGACATGCTCTTAATATTAATGTACAGTCCTATTTTTAGGTCAACTTTGAAAGCAGTTAATATCAGAAAATACTGATAAAAAGATCTGTTTGGAACCTTGGACTTGGATAATGAGAGAAATTTAAGATGCTGATTGTGTTTCCAAATGGCCTTGGCCTGAAATGAGGTTCATAAAAAATGATCTAAACCTAGCAGAAAGGTGTGGACATCAACACGTAAACACAGATGCTTGAGACGGCAAGTGTAAAGTCTACTGGTAAGCTCTTGGATTTTTTTTTTTTTTAACGAAATAGTTCCCAAATTTTCTGCATTGAATAAATATTATTTATGTAACTCTTAAAGATAATAATCTTTAAGGACTCAAGCTCAGAGCTTGAGTATATTGTAGTATCAAATACAATATTTGATACTACTTTTTTAAGGAATTAAAATAAGAAACAGGAATTTAAAATAAGATACAAGGAATTCTACCTACTATGAGCAGATGACCTAATTCTCCACCTGCCCTAATTAACCTTATTTCCCCTTTTCAAATTTGCCACCAATCTGTTACCTCTAAGTTCTGCAATCTTAAAAACTTGAATAAATCATAGTAAATATCAATCACTCTTCATAGGATAGAACTCTGTCAGTCAAAATCTACTTTCTGAAAAGCAATCATTTAGATAGATGTACAAAGCAGAACAGTAGGAAAGAGATAAAAATATAAGTTATATTAGACTTGACTTTAAGCAACAACTTGGTTAGCATTGGCTGAACATAAGACAACATGAAGACACAGCAGAGCAAGGACTGCCTTGAGACACACTCTCACGTCCCTCCCAGCAACACTAACAGCAGCCCAGCAGCTGAAAAGTGCTCGTCAGTGGTCAGTATGATGGGGTAGAACTGTGGGATGTGGAGAGACAAAAAACATTCTGAAATCATGACTCTTTCGGGTGCTTATCAAGGTTACTTTTTTAAACCACAAATTCTTAAAATGATGATTATCACATTCCAACATTATATAACATATATATTTTCTTAATGTAGGTGAAAGAAGAATATAGGAACACTACTGAATTCACAGTGAGAACACTTGCAGAATCCACAGGTTTCCTGCAGGGGATGTTTCCACAAAGCCTGGCTCCCAACTATCACCAGCCCCATTTGTCACTCATCTATTTAATCCATAACATACTATGCATACACAACACACCCCCTTCTGAGCCAGAGCACAGACACGCACTTCCGGTCCTGGTGCTTCTACTCAGGCCAACTTGGCTCTAAGATACATTACAAAATATTGGCTAATATACAGCACACACTGGGAGGCTGTTCTTACATCTTCAATCTTTATTATTTGAAGTCTCTCATTAAAATTCTGCATTAAAACAAAAGGTCAATGGTTCTATTGACGGCTAACTTGCTTAACAGATGATGTTATTTTACACCAGTTTGATCGTTTTCCAGGCAGATCACAGTGCCTGTGTGTTCTCACCCACAGATGCAGCAGACAGCACATCACAAGTAAACAGCATTTGTTGCTCAGCACAATAACTACTGTGACCCAGCCTCCCTGCACAATGACACAATTATTATGGCCATGACAGCAAGATCCCAACTAAGGACACAATTAATGTCTATTGCAATAAAGAATACTCTACATTGTTCTTCAGTGGTGAAGTTTTGAAGAAGAGGGAGGGGAATTATTATAGATGCAAATTCACAAAACAGTGATGCCCCACCACGGGCCAAGGTTGCAGTGGAGGATGAGGAGAGGGAAAAGGAGCACAGGTGGTCACATCTTCCTTATGCTCCACCATGCAGCTAAAGCATCTGAAGAATTTAATAAGGAATAAAGGAAAAACACCTGTAAAGGGGCAGCTTTGCTTTTTCCATTAAACTTGTTTTTTTCACATAAAGATATTAAATTATTGGAGAGACTCAAAGATGACCTAAATGATCCTAAGAAGGCCATTTTCCTAAGGAACTCCTCAACAACAATGGAATTTTCTTTCTCATCTCCTATTCGCAGTTCTAGCTATAAGCAAAGGGCAGCCTGATGTGGTGGTGCATGCCTGTACCCCATCACTTTGGGAGGATTAGAGAAGAGCATTGCAAGGACATGCCCAGCCTGAACAACCTAGCAAATCCGCAAGAACCTGTCCCCAAAAGGTGGGGACTAGAAATGCAGCTCAGCACAACGGCTCTGGGTTCAATCCAAGATACCACAGAAAGGATCAAAAAGGTAGGGCATCAATAAAATTTGGAAAAAAACACACATTATGCATTTTTCACTTAATCTGAATCCCTATAATATCAGAGGTAGGCCCTCAAATGAATCACTGAAATATATCATACACTCTCCAAAGCCTACAGACCAAGGTCTGTCTCTCTCCAATTTGTTAAGCTAAACTGCCTCCCCCGGCACCTCAAAATGCATACTCTCTGGAGCTCTAGAGCATCTTCCTTAACCATTCTCACCATCTGCTCTTTAACAAACTGCATCAACACAGGCCCATGCTGCCTCAACCAGCCGGCCCTGCCATCCCTACTGCAGCTGTGTTGGTCATTACATCAACTGTGCTACCAAAGTACCATTGCTGCCCTTCACGTCCAAGGCCTACCCATGCCTCACACCACCTGCTGTGGCCCTCTTCCTTGGCCATACATCTTGCCCACTACCACACCTTTTCTGAAACTGTCTTAAGAATACATTATACTGCTTCACTGTTCTCTTCTGTCTCCTTATTTAATAAGTATTTTCCACTGAAATGAATATAATAGAGAATTAAGTTGCAGACCAATGCCTCATACTTGACTAAAAATGTTGGATGTGCTTTATTTTTTGTACCTCTCCAAGGTTGCACGACTTAAAACTAAATAACCACATATCTGTGTGGTTGCTTTTGTACATCTTGCAGTAAACTATGAACCAAACAATCCTAGATTTGTTAAAGGTGTCAATGATGATAGTACTGAGAAATTTACAAAAAGATGAGCAAAGGGAAAGATTTAAAAACCTAGAGTTCTCTAATTGTCCCCAATGAAACTTCTGTTGATACCAGAAAAGTTCTTAGAAACAAGCATATTCTTTGATCATATTTGCCTAGACTTACAATAAATTCAGAAAACACTCAAATTTTGTTGTCTCTGTATATAATCAAAATCAAATTTAAGCAAAATCAATTCACTAGAAAACTAGTCTCATTAAAATATTAGTGACAAACATCAGTACTACATTAAATTAGCAGTTAAAAATATAAAACATTGCTCTATTCTCCAGACAACCATTTTCACACTTTTTTCTCACTAGAGGGATAGTTCACTGCCTATACAACTTGGGACACAATACATACTCAACAAATGCTAAATGCAGTCCACATTTTGGCAAAGGGGCTAATATTTCCTTTCTTCCAACCACTCACCAGCTCTTACCATGACACAACTATATCACTTTGCCTGATTGCCTAAGGTAACTACCATTTAGTATCATATCTTCAAAGTCAAAAATTAACCTAATTAGGTATTTCAAGCCAGCTGGAGAGGCAATGAAGATATATATCTGCAGGAAGACTCCAACAATACTTCCTCATAACTAAATTAATGAACATTACCAGTATCAATCTTGTGACTTCTATCTAAATGATTTTATATTAATAACAGTGAATGGGGTACCTGACCCATCAGTTAGCTCAGGAGGAATCACCATGCTGGATAAGCGAGTTCCTGCACCCTGCATTTCAGTTAAGGTGAAGGGCCATGCCATACATACTGCTTGGCAGTGAGCTGCACAAAAGCACAACAAAACTGCCTTCAAATCTTAAACTATGAAAAATGCTGCCCTCTCAGACAAAGGCTCTAACATGCATATTTCTAATCAGAGGCAAGTTAATCTAGAAAAGCAGGCCTGATTTTTCTCTTCTACCCCTTTTCACCTTTCTTATCAAAGAATAAGACTCTCAAGGCAAAATCACAAGCTGTGGACACCATGGCTCACTCACTGGCCTCTTCCATGACCTGACTTGTGAGCAAAGCAGGTGATCCAGCACCAGCACCACCCAGAAAGGGGAGTGATCCTGACAATGTGAAGACACCTGTCACTGCGAATCTGTATTTTCTTTCTTCAGTCCATAAGGATTTTAAAAATCAACAGCAGGCCGACCAAATAGCTCAACGGATTAAAGCACCTGCAAGCAGGCACAGGGGCTGGGGGTTCAATCCCCAGGCATGCCATGCTGGCCCTGCCCCCGGGGCATGCTGAGACAGCAATTGAGACTGGGCATGGTGGTGCGCACCTGTAATCCCAGGTCTTGGGAGGCTGTAAACAGGCGGATCACTACTAGTCCGAGAGTAGGGAGCCCCTGAACACCCTGTAGACCCTTCCTTAAAATACAAGAAAAAAAAAAAAAAACATAAAAAGACTAGGGCCATTTTGGCCCTAGCCTTTCAAGGTCAGTGAAGACTCAGGACATAGGAGAACCTATATTGTAACATCATGTAACTCAGTTGTGTCCCGAATTTTCTGATCAAGGAGATCATGGGGCCACAGAGGAAAGTGATTGATGATGTAGAGTGTGTCTAACGAGAGTCACATGGAGAGAAAACATTCTCTCAGGCTTTCACAGAGAGCAAACTGGTCAAGCAATGGCTGT